AGCAGAGGGAGTCCAACGCAAAAAAAAAAAAAAAAATCATCGTATGCAGTTTACAGGAGATACACTAAAAACATTAGCATCCAGAAAGACACAAATTAAAAGTATGGGGGGAGGCCGCTTTGAGGACTCAGCCTGTAATCCTGGCACTTTGGAGGCCGAGGTGAGTGAATTGCCTGAACCCATGGGTTGGAGACTAGCCCAGACAATTTGGTGAGACCTCATCTCCACAATAAATCAAAAATTAGCCAGGCATGGTAGCGCGTGCCTGAAGTTTCAGCTACTTGGGAGGCTGAGGCAGAAGGATCGCCAGAGCACAGAAGGTCGACACTGGGGTGGCCGTGTGTACCACTGCATTCCAGTCTGGGCAATGGAGTGAGACGCTAACAACAACAAAAAAGAACATGATATTTTTGTCCTCAGTAAGTTCTAGGACTACTACCGATTTTAACTTAACATTTTAATAACCCGTAATATCTCAAACTACTAGGAAGTAGCCCTTATGTCAAAATACAAGTGTCCTCATTCATCTGGAAGAAACAAAAGACATGTATGTTTAGATTGTTTGACACAACTTTCACAACCTGTTGTGGGCCTAGGATAGTACTTTTGGGAATTGCTGTCAATGTAATATAAATAGTCTCCTTTATTCACCCAAAGAGAAGAAAAAGAGCCCTCAGTTCATTAAAATAGGACTTTAGGAAAACAGTAGGGGTGTCTGTGAGCTAATAACACACTTTGATGCATGTTTGAAATTTTTCATAGTAAACATTTAAAAAGGACACTCATGACTTCAGGTTACTGGTGGTTCAGACCCAAGCAGTTGCCCTGACAATGACTTCTTAAGGCCCAGCTATCATTTAAATTGAAGGCTGGTGGGAAAAATTGTTTAACAAGAGACTAAGTTGAACAGCTATCCCATTTTTATTCTCTGCATCTTTGCATAGTGGAAAAAAAGCTTCTGTTGATGAAAAGTCAAACTCTAAAATATTTAAAGCAGTTTATTCTGAACCACATATGGTACTAGTATAGAAATAGACACATAATCAACTAAAAAATAAATTATCTGGGCATGGTGGCGCACGCCTGTAGTTCCAACTACTTGGAAGGCTGAGGTGTAAGGATTGCCTGAGTCCAGCAGGTCAAGGCTGCGGCGGCCATGAGCATGCCACTGCTTTCCAGCCTGCGTGACTGGGAGACTCCAACTCAAAATAATAATAATAATAGGCCAGACTCGGTGGCTCAGCCTATAATCCCAGCACTTTGGGAGGCCGAGGTGAGTGGATTGCCT